TGGAATACATTTGCTAATTAAATTTCGTTTGTTGTTTTTCTGATTGACAGTAATATTGACAGCAAGGAAAATACCTTAAGAGAAAGCGACAGAATACTTTCTTTTTCTGAACCACAATTGTCCCCAGACAATTCAATAGTGTACACGGTTAGAGCTCGTTGCCCATTTTTTTCAGCTTTTGGACACAAAAGTGCTCCCCCACCCGTTTATCTTAGCCAATCAGAATTGACTTTCGCTAACCGCAACACTTTTGACACTCAGATCGAATTCAGAATAAGTCTCTCTAGTCCGCTTTTATTAATAAATATTTTTTTATGACACCTACTTGAAATGGCCCCCAAAAGTTTCTTCAATTCCTCCACTGTACTCTGCATTGATATATTTTACGGACCATTATCCTTGCCGGTAATTATGAAAATCAAGTCATGCTTGCCAACAAGAACTTCTCGCAAGCTTAGTGGTTACGTATAACGCTGATCATGACAGAATGTATTGCGAAAATACCAAAAAAGGTTTTGTACCATCACACATATGTTACTATCGGTAAGACAGTAGGGTTAGATAAATTGCAGATGATTTTGCCACCTGACGTGAGAAAGAAGAGTATGATATTGAGGTTAAAAGTCCCCTTCCAAGCAAGGCATCTATGACACTAGTTTATCACAGACTTTCTTTGTAGTATGCGAACCTCTCTAGGCAAGACAAACATGACACTAAGTTTATTACATAATGTCTTGGCATAATGCCATTCAAATATTGAGTGAAACTGCTGATCTGAGGACTAGTACAACAAGTAAATCTAATTTTACTTGTAACGGATAGTAAATGTAAATGAAACAACTGTGAACGAAGCTTTCAGCCTCCCATCAGTTAGGACCATCGACCGCTCACTAATGGGAATAAATTTATTTCAACAGACCTTTGTATGCAAATTGCAAATAAAACTCATCTTTTAATTCATGACATTAAATTCTTTAGGACACTCATTTTTAGTATTAATTCCTGTCAGAGCAGAACTCTATCCATCGGTTACTGACCTTTATTTAATTGCTGACGCATGCGTGGAGATCAGCATCATCACTCCAAGGTAAGAGTAATGCATAGGAGCAAGCAGCAGTTTAATATGTCATGGTAAAGGTACTAGCAGAACATGAGGCATGATTCATCGACAATTTGGAAAATGCTTCATAAATATTACTCGTCATCTGGGTTAGCCATAAAATAGAAGAAACGAAATGTCTGAAAATGTTAAAATTTTACTAATTTTCATTATTTACATTTTAATCGATGTGCAAACAATCTTAATCCAAAGCGCATAAAACGATAATAAATTCAGCAATATTTTAAACAGTAATCCATAAACTGGTATAAATCAATAATATATTTCTTGATCTGATCGAGATATTGTTGGAATTTTTGACGTTTCAAAATCGTTATGTGTCATCTGAACATCCAAGTATCGGATGGCATTTGTATATGTAACCTTAGGAATGAAATCGTCACAATCGTTGCTCTTTGCACAGTTTTTATTCTGGATCTTTTAAAACATAATTTAGAGAAAAAGAACATAATGGAATGACCTGACCAATAAATAAAAAATGTTATTTGACTAACTCTGGTTTATTTGATTCATTAAAATCTCAGTAAGATAAATGGCAGCAACAGCTATCCACAGCACAATCCAGCTGGCTGAGTGGTCCAAGGCACTCGGCTTTACAGTTCACTGATATATCACCTCTATCCGCGTGGGTTCGAGTCTCAACGCTGTCATCACGGAAATGAAAGGAAGTTTGCCATTAGCATCGCGTGAGTTGATAATACAGATTGATCTTGCAGATTTTTTCTTTCGCAAAATATTTTACTCGCCATGTATAGCCTAACATGTAATGAAAATGGTGTTAAGCCCACAACACTAAAAAAAAGTGGCAACTTTTTTCAATCCTTTTCAATGTATGGAAGCTACTAGATTTATGTTAAATGTTCAATTCCTAGACCTGACACTGCTCCAGCTACACCTTAATCGGAATCCCCTTATTTGTTTAAATCAAACTTTGCTTTCCATAAATATCTACTTCCGTGTTTATAGGATCGTTTTAGATTCGTCTTGAATAGTTATGAGAACTTCAGTTTCAGATTGTACTATATATTTAGCCGAATTTAAATTCTTGCATTTTACACATAAATTATTTAATTCTCATTGTGCATTGTTTAAGCTTTTTTCCAAATCACGGTTGATGACTTCAATGTTATCATGATTAAAATAATTTGTAAATTTGTCTTTTCGAAAACACTAGACTACACCTTTTATGTTTCAAGTCGGAAACATGATACCTTTATTCTTTTTAAGGTCTTCTTCAACAAAACTAGCTTTGACCAAATTATTGTCCCGTCCTAACTTGTACACAATTAGTCGTTATTTCTAGGCGTTAATTGTACACAAATGGGCGTTATTGTACACAAATAGGCGTTATTTCTAGATACACAAATAGGCATTATTGTTAGGCCTTTTTTGTACACAAATAGGCGTTTTTTCTCGATACTAAAAATGCTTACAAATTAGATTCTTTAAAACTTTCAATTTCAAAACAATGTAATTTTTGTGCAAATATTTATCTTGTGTTAAACAGTTTAAATTTTGTGTTTATTGTCTTCATAGACTTCCTGGTCCAGTAATTTTCAATGTTTTTTTTTTTTTTTTAATTCTCAAACCTCTATAAGATAACAATCAACAAGTTGAATATAAAAGGTCTAGTGATATTAATTTGCTTTTAAAAATTTATCGATCTCTTTAAAATTTAGCGTGTGGACCAGTAATGTTGAAATTCTGATCGTCAAAACCATTCCTAGTTTTGCTGATATAATAACTTCTTAACTTTGGTGATTTTTGATGCCTTTGTTGTCGTACTCGAGTATATCGACCAACCTACCCACCCAACAAATAAACGAAAAAGAAAATTATTGGTCAAGAATTGACATGATAGATCAACCTATATGCATTTGTACAAGAAATAAAACATGCAGATAAAAGATAAAAACCAAAGAAAGTACACAAAATTAGAGAGAGATATGCGTACACAAGTATCTTTCTGACATGGATATGACAAATGCTGAACAAAAGCATAAACGTGTCTGCAAATATCGAATTCAGTACAAGTATTTTTGCTTATAATTTTACATTTTTTGCCGACATACCATTAAATCTTTGCGTTCGCTAATTGTTGTGGTAAATGACAGGTTCTGCTTTTTGTCTTGACCTTCTTTTATCAAATCGCTTAATTAGCAACGTTGTAATTACCTCCATTCTGCGAGTGTTCTGACAATACAGGGTCAGATATCCACCAGCTGTCACATTTTATTGCAAGTCTTCATTAAGTACCTGACAAGAAATATTTCTAAGCTGGCTGTCCAGCTTGTATATCGCATATGACGGAAGCCAAGACTACAAGCAGTGTGTTGTCTGCAGTGAGATGGAGTAACCTTGCATCAAGGTTGTCGTTTTAGAGATCCAAAGATCCGATTATCAGGAACTTATCACAACCAACCCTTTAGATACGTTTAGGTAAGTGATTCTTTTGTTTTACCTATATTTCTTATATATACTATAACTCAGAACTGAAAAAGTTAACTGAAAAAGACATTTATGTCTGGTTACAAAAGCGGATATCAGGAGCGATAATTAGAGTCACGTAACGTTACTGTCAGTCTAGCACGAGCAACATAAACATGAGCTAAATATAACTGTTATATACGACAATTCGTGTCGTACGATCATTCCTCGTATTTTATTTACACTTGGACAACATTAATTATAACACAATATTGCGAATGTCCATACAAACATGGCCCTTACAATACGTTTATGGATGAAACACACTTCTGCCTACCTATCCTCTGTCTATTTTCCACCTGTTTCTATATCTAAATATTTACATCGCAAAGAACCGGCATGCCTGTAATTTAACTACCACACGATCATGGAAAGGCGACTGCTATCCACATTACGGCAGTTTCGTGTATTGACCTTGATGCACTGGAGAAAGAAAATGAAGGAATTAGCCAGCTATATACATGCAATGGCATGGTGTAAATAAGGCATCAATTATTATAATAAACGCAGTTTATTTTGAGGCACAAGTCCTCTATTTCAGCACAATGTATTAAGATTTTATAACTATTTGACAATGGAAGCATTATCACCGTTTTCTTTGAAAGGTATTATTACACCAATTTGGCTAATGCGCTGTTCTTTCAACATATGGCAATCCACTCAAAAATAAATTATAATTTTATTTGGATCTTTTCGGGTGGTTTTCATACCAGTGAAGAACGTTTGCATTACATAGAAGACAGAGAAAAGTCTAAGAGGACAAGTGTTTTCAACTTCAACTTCTCTTTTCAGTTGGATGACTAAGCTAACACAGCTAACACATGTATTTTGTCATGTTCAGGAAAGGTTGTTTGTACTAAGATTTCTTCTCATTTCATTTGTTTCAAATGTCAGTATCTGAAAAAGAAGTGCAACATCAACTATGTTGTTTTTTTTTTTCTAAATGTTTCGTCTGAGTTAGTGTGAAGGGAAGTAAATATACAAGAAATTTAATTAGTAGAGTAAAATTCGAAGACACGTCTGACATGTTGCAGAAGCAGCCATTTTGAACGTTAGTCTACAAAGGAAACTATCACGTGACGAGATCATGTTCTTAACTAATACGTCACTGTATATAAAAATTTCATCATCGATTTGTTGCAATGAAGAGTTCAAAAGTTACTTTCAGTAAATAATGTATTTCTAAGTTTCAATATGTTAATGTGACCAAATTGTTTTAGCCCATATATGTACAAAAACTTCATGGTGTTTGATTTTCTTTTGACCGTGTGGGAGAGTCATACAAAAATTAGCACTGAAAAATTGAAAATAAATGTTCGATTTTGCAAAAGTAAACGTTTCACCGATTAAGATCAAGACGCCGTTCAATGTCACTAACATGTACCTTTTTATTGATCGCACCGGTGGCCTAGCGGTTAGTGCATCCGCCTATGATGCGAGAGGTCGTGGGTTCGAACCCCGGCCGAATCATAACAAAGACTTGATACGACTGGTACTACCAGCCGCCTTATATGGCTCTCAGCATTAAAAGGATAAGACTGGTCTGCCTAGTGTGAGGATGATACGACTGGGTGGGATATCGTGATTCATGTCTGCGGCACGATTCCCAAGTACCAGACAGTACTATAAACTGTCACACTGCAGAAATAGCGATATGACTGAAATTTCTCTCTCTCTCTCTCTCTCTCTCTCTCTCTCTCTCTCTCTCTCTCTCTCACACACACACACACACACACACACACACACACACACACAAACGTCTTTATTCATTATGAATGCCGAAGTATTGAAACCAAGTGTAATTTGGTGGTAACTATTTACGGCCATATTGTAGGGTTAAGAAGTGGTAGACCATGCATGAATAATTATGCATAGACAATGTACCGTAATTTCTCACGCTACACGTGTTTATAGTCTAGCTCAAAACTGGTTTTAGAATTAATGAGTTTGTTTGTCATTCTCAGGACTGCATTATTTGCTTAAGCACTATACTACAGATTGTGCCTTAAGCATAGAAATACGAATTGCGCTTTAAGCATGGTAACACAAATTGTGCTATAAGAAAGGTAACAGTGCCTTAAGCATGGTAACACGACTTGTGCTTTAAACATGGTAACAAGAATTGTGCACTAAGTATGGTAACACCAATAGTGTTTAAAGCATTGTAACACGGATTGTCCCTAAGGAATGGTAACACGATTTATGCTATAAGCATGGTAGCACGAAAATTGTGTTTTAAAAATGGTAACGCGAATTGTGCCTGAAGCAGGGTGACATGAATTGTGCTTTAAGCATGGTAACACTAAATTGTGCCCATAGCAAGGGATTTTACATTAGGATAGTCAAACTTAAAGCTGCATATTATTCCCACATAGTCCAGGACTACATTATTGACATGTCTTAAAATAACGTTGTTGCTCGTTTTTGTATTTTAAGTTTGGACTAAATTGCAATTTAAAGGCGACAAATCTGCATTCCTTTCTTTCTGAAAACAAATTACAACATATTTCAGTCTAAAAATGATTTTCATGTAAGTTCAAGAGCCGCTCTATATAAAACATATGCTGATCAATTTGTTAAAATTACATACGTCTTTAGTCGTCTTGTCCGCTATTATTGCAGTCAGTTTTGAGCATCAACGTTGTACAATCTAATGTCGATCCATCACCCTTTAAAAGAAAGATTAGAACACATTTCTACATATAAATGTTTTTTTTCTTCACAATTCTCTCTCCCCTCCCTCCCCCTCTATCTCCCTATCCCTCCCTCTCTCTCACTTCCCTCTCTCCCCATCCCTCTTTCTCCCCTCCCTCTCTCCCCCTCTCTCCCCTCCTTATCTTCCCCCCGTCTCTCTCCCCCTCCCTTTCTCTCTCCCTCTCTCCCTCTCTCGTTCCATTGATCATATTCCTGTCTCAATTATATAGTCATTATATAAATTAGAAGCTATTACGTCAGGCCATATTAATTAAAAGCTTAATTAAAGTGATTTTATATTTTTAATTTCAGTAACAAAAGATTTACAGACTTCAATGTAATTTAAAATTTATGCATTTTTTACTGCATTAGGAAATATTTCATGTACTTGTAAACTTAAAAATAAACATTTGGAGAACATAGAAATACTTAAGCCTATTCTATCATAACATACATTTTGTTTTGGTTTGTTGCAATTATAAGACTTACAAATTTAATTTTAATGAAAAGTTTTCATTAATAAAAAGGACATCCATTTTCTATCTACTAGTATCACAATTTCTTCGTAGTTTACTAACAGAATCTAACAGTGTAATAGTTTTTCGATGCAATTCAAACTTTAGTTACGTCAGGTCGGGTCTTGTTAGGAAACATGTAACATTCATATGTAAAATTGGTACAACGCTTCAAAGAACATTGATATTAGCAAGTCCATAATTGTACTATTTCTATACACACCAGAATCCAATAATAATCTTCAAAACACAATTATTTGGGTAATTATTATTAGTTGTCGTTTCTGGAATTATTTTGTAGGTTCATTAACACAGAAATAGTAGTGATTTTTCACTCAAGATGTTTTGATTGGTTACGGTATGCCTTGACAATAGTACTCACGATTTCTTGAAGGTCACAGAGGTGCATTCGAATTATGTAGTTATCTCTGAAATAGACTTTACTATTCGCGAACATAGAATAGTTACTTACTTTTAAAAAACGGTGCATTACGAGTTCACTGTCTTGAGTTAAAGAGAGAACTGTTTTTTAATTTGTTACGTGTTGGTGGTTTGGTTATCGTTATTTAAAGGACGATCGACCACGGTGTTATCACCGAGATAAAGTAAATATATAAATAAAATCTGGAATTAATTAATGGAATGACAAGTCTGAGCAGAGATATAGAATCGTGGTATGTAAAATATAACAATTTAATCAAATCATGTTATTGTTTGTTGTTGTTGGGCTTAACGACATTTTTCAGCACACGATAGGCTATTCATGGCGGCCAGTATTAATGGTGGAGGAAGAAACCGGGAAATCACCGGAAAGAACCACCGATCCACGAGAAGCTACTGGAAAGCTTTCTCACATATCCACATTCGCCGAATCCTAGACTCGAACCCACGCAGACAGAGGTGAGATGGCAGTGATCCGTAACGGACAGCGCTTTAGACCACTCGGCCACTCGGGGCCCCCTAAATCAAATCATGAAAAACGAAATTGAACATGTATTTTGAATGATACTTTCTCTTAGAAACAAAATTAACCGGCTATAAAAATGTAATTAGCCGTTCAGTTGATACCGATAAAACCAATTTCAAACAAAATCGAATGATCGATTTAACTCATTTGCCCAACATGCCTGCATAACGTGATTGCTGGTCGGTCCCTCAAAATTTCCACGTTCAAGTCAAGTAAGAGTCGTTGTATTCTTTTCCTTTTTCTCTATATCTCTCCAGCCTACTTCAGGTCATCAACCGTAACTTCGTTGTCTGTTCTCTTTTCCTACTATATAGTGCATATATGGAACTATTTTCTCCATACGATGAATAATAAATACGCAGCCTAAATAATTGTCAGACCTTTCTCTTTTGGGGTTGAAACATACCTCTGCTCTAGTTACATCAGATATCGTCTTATCGCAATTTAACAGAAACTAAGCCTAGTATGGGTCGGTTTAGCTAATACACAACCTTATTACGAAAAGATTATTATTTTTTCCTAGCGACTACTTGGTGTCTCTAATTCAACTAGCACACTCTAGACATAATAAGCTGTTACCCCTGCTGTGAACTATAAATCACTAATTGGAATAAGGGTCAGTCGGCAGGCGCACGATTTCTTTGTTAAAAGAATTCACAATTTAATTACACAAATGAATTTATGGAATTTACTTCTCGTCTTACATACAACACATACTAACAGGAATTCATTGGCATGCATGATTCAGACACAGACAAATTCACATAATTCACATACATTTACTTCAAACGTGACACGTGAAATTCGTAGAAAACACGATTCCCATTACATATAAACGAGTAAATTTGAACATCCGTTATCAAGAGAATAATGAACGATAGTCTTAGAATAAATGAGTCATAACATTAAAGATAAATTAATGCAAATAATCAACTTCCAAATACAAGGAATATTGATGTTTGAATTCAGAAGAAAGTCAAGCAAATAATTACTGACGTTAAGAATTTTATGATATATGTTCTACGAGACTGACAATACCTTATGCCTTCTAAAAAGGCGTTGTTTTTTTTTTTCGGTAGCCGAATCTCTATGTTCCTTTAAGCTCTATGTCCCTCAACTTCCAGTCCTTCGTCCATTGCACAATTTATAACGAGAAAATACTTCTTATTTTCCCCAGAGATTATTTCTTGTCTCTGTGCAGAAAATTAGACTAACTAAACTTTTGAGAGAGAATACGTAAAATATCGAATCATGATTTAAAATAAGGTCACAAAACGTAGTCATTTCTAACCTGATTGTCGCCAGAAGATCATTAACACATTCTTATTGTTAGCTTTTCAAACCATATATTAGACTTTAGTTCAAGAACCAGTCTGCTCACTGTCCTTACACCTTTCACGAAAAAGTCTATTTTGTGTAAGGGGAGAGGTTCCGTGGACTACATATACACAGAAGATGCGAACTGTGTCGTCTCCATCCAATATTTTCAATGTCTTGTATTAATATTTATTAAATTTTAATAATAATAAAAAACAATAATAAAAAAGTAAAACGGTGTAACTCAATAAAATGGACGTACCTCTTGTCACGAACTCCTCCTGAGAAAGGGGAAGGTGAATGCTTATAACGGAAGACAATCAATGTGGAAATGAATACTAAAATAAGACAAACAGCACAAACTGTACATATATTAAAACATTAGCCTATAACACTAATATTGCACACACATACCACTAGCACTACCTCTCGTGATGATAATGAAAAAGGTAATTAAAGAATAAATTTTTTAAAAGCCTATTTCAGTCCTATAATTCAGCTCCTTTTGTTATCGGTAATTTGTTTTCTTTCAATGCAATTGTAACTCATCAATGTCCAATCTTCACAAGTGTATCTTGATCCGTATATCACACGACAGATTTGCACCTTGAAGTGAAGTTTGCACAATTTGTCATTCATAAGTTATTCTAATGTATATGTATTTAGCACACGATATATATATATATATATATATATATATATATATATATATATATATATATATATATGTATATATATATATATATATATATGTATGTATGTATGTATATATATATATATATATGTATGTATGTATGTATGTATGTATGTATGTATGTATGTATGTATGTATGTATGTATGTATGTATGTATGTATGTATGTATGTATGTATGTATGTATGTATGTATGTATGTATGTATGTATGTATGTATGTATGTATGTATGTATATATACATATATATATATATATATATATATATATATATATATATATATA